TTGAAAAATTATCACAACGAAGCAAGCATGGTTCAGAATGAAAATGCGGAAATTCCTCACACTGAAAACTGCAAGCAGAGCAGGAATCCTGCCATAGAGAAATAAATTTATAGAGCCTCAATGAAAGAATAATTTCACAACAAGTGAAATTGTAGAAATGAAAAGATATGAAATTGACCGTGATGAGAAAAATAAAGCAAATTATTGCGATGTTCAGAAAATCTAAATTCTTCTTCAAATACTTCTCATTCAGTCAATTATTGTCCTCCAAATTCTTCAAATACTCAGTGTCAATCAGTCAATGTTTAAAAGCTGCTAAAAACCAAAATCAAAGAATTACCGATTTCTGAATCAGTACTGTAACCATTCCTCGCTCGATCATATCGCATACCATTGAGATGATTGTTGATAACAGAACATCTTGAAGGTGATTGAATTATATCACTACAACATTCGGTTCTGCCACCGTATAGTTCACTTTCAGAAAACAAACGTCTGCTTCCAGAATGTTCCTTCTTCAGTAGTGATGCCGGTGAACCTGAATTTCAATTTTTCAGACGGGACAACTTCAAAATGCATTAAATTGTGCTATTTAAATAGCTCAACTGAGAGTGTACCACTATGGGAAATTGAATAATCGAAACTATTTCAAGGGATTTCGTCAAAAAGATCAGCAAGTTAGAGTGCGAACGTAAATTGCAGTGATATGGATAGATGCTGAGTTATCATTGGCCAAGCCATTATCGAAGCAATCAAAACACAATTCTATTTTCTAATAATTTTATATTCATTACTGCTACTGCTTCACTATTCTTACATTCAATTCGCAAAGTATTTCAGTACTTTAATCGAATACTCGCTGTTGAAATATGAAAAATTTTTTGTAGTAAAAGTATAATAAAGAATAAAAGGCATGGCACTAATGCAAAAAACGAACTGATACCGTTCATCATTGTAGAGAGCATCGGCTGCCTGGATGCATAAGGTGATTCCGAATAGCTTACGGCCGATCCCACTGCACTACCTGGGCCAGGCGTATGTCCAATACTACCAGATTCTCGTGATTTCAGCGATACGGTATCGCGTTCATCACTCGCTTCATTGATACGTTGTAACGCATCGTAAACACGCTTGTTCTTCTTACGTTTCCTCTTCTCCTCTCTTAAAATTCCGAATTAGAGAATCTTTCTAAATTAGCGACATTAGTGACAGGATTCAACCATCTTGATGATTATGACTTTTAAAATTACTCGAACTCACAGTGAAAACATTTTGCGGATCTCATCTAACACGGCAATTTACAAATCTTATGTAAGTTAAATTAGTAAAATACAAAGCAATATTTTCCAACCTGTAACTGGGCATATTACCAAATTTGATGGAACGTTGTGCAATTTCGGGAATACTTTCATTCAACTTCTCATCCGCAAGTCCTTCTGGAAATTCAGCGGTGCTTCTCCTCCTGAAACAATTTCAACAAGCGTTATCACTTTCCTCAGCACCTGTTGCATTAGTCATTAATATTGCAATGATATTAGTACGATCAGCCTTGATTATATTGAGGTTATTGCTAACAATATGAATCCAGAGTCCATAAGAACATCTTTAAGAATAAAGATCTACTCACCGATAGCAGAATAACAAACATATGAGAAGTATGAGAAGTGCCACACCGACGAGTAATAAAATTGCGAGTAACGTAGTTGTGTTTAATGTGCGACCAGCTGGAATATGTCAAATTAAGACTAGTGAATATTCAGATGCTGCTGCATGCATTCACTATTGAATCATTCGATTAAGTTCCACTTGAAGGTTGGCATCGCCGCCTCCGAGACATAGTTAACATATGATTAAAAAATGCCAATAAACTATTCGAAATTTGCAAATCTTATGAATCAAAACTGAATTCTAGACAACCGTTGCAATAATATATCATGATAACGAAATGAAAGATCATCTGTAAAAAGTTCACCAGCAAGAGAAGGTATAATAAGATGATTTGGTGTGGCAGTGGTCATTGATATCCGGCGTGACGTATTCGATCGTATATCACAAGCGTTACCTGCCCATCCATCAAAACAAAGACAACGTTGTGTTGTGGTGCAATCCTGTAATGCATATTGCACATTCATAATTAAGTGACACATTCTTCTGGTCGAATTTGCAGTAAAATACAGTGCAGCAGGATTTAAACATTCGAATACGATATGGTGGTTGTCGATGAATTTAGAACTGCAAATACCAGTGAACTCAATTCAATCAGCAATAATCTAAAT